TCACTTTCGTTATCGCTTTCACACATCATCATACTTCACTAAAACAACTAAAACTGAAAACGCACGTGTTTGTTAGACTTCAAGCTACAAACTGGTACTAAAATCAGCTGATAATATCACATTGCAAGACAGCTAGAGCGCACTGTGCATTACTTTTGGGACAACCCTCGTATGTATACACGTAGTAATATTTCACACGCGAAACGCAGAGTAATACGAGTATATCGCGTTTAATTATCGAAACAACTGCGGCAACAGTTATGTAACGCAGTCTTTATAAATGAATTACCCGAACGATAAAACAAAATTGTAAAATTGCCATTATTATAGTTTCGACTTCATTATTCGATGTGGCGCGCTCCGAATCGTATGTATACAATGTTTTATAGATCTCTTGTTGTCTTGGGTTTTTTTTAATTATACGAGTCGGTTTTTCTATCAAATTCCTGACAGTTATTATTGGTGAGATTTTTTCCGGTGGGTGGGGGAGGAGAGAGGAAGTGAATTTTTGATCGTAGGACATCGCGGTCGTCGACCTTTTGTGCCCGCGCGAACGCCCGGGCTCAAGGTTCTCCCCAAGGTGAATCAATAATCCTACGTTATTTCTCCCTGTTGCGTTCGATTCTAACTCGAGCTCGTCAAAACTTTTCCCATTTAACTCGTCAAATCAATCCGATTTATGTATTTTTTTTTTCTGGTAAAATTATTTTGCGGTCTGTTTAAAATTATATAATCACAATGGTATAGTATACTTACTATACGGTTAACCGTTTAAAAGATAACTTCCTGTGTCTATCTATTTTACTCGAATCACAATACCAGAAAACAAAAAAATAAAAACAATAACAACTTCAAACAAAATCAAAAGCGAGTCGCGGATACAAAGCAATATTATGTGCGGGGCTTGTACGCGTTCGTATTTTCAATTATACCAAAGGGTTCGCTGGGTACTATAATATCTAATCTGCTACTACTGTAAAGGATTTTCAAAAATTCAGCATAGATTGCAAAATTGCTGAAAACATAGTCTTATTCAGTTTTAGAATACGAGAATTAATTTATTTGAGTTAGGTTGTGTTTCAATATGAATTTAACCATGTTTTTGAGGGTGGAAAGTTTTGTTTAGCTTTATACACCCTCAAAATGAAGCCAGAGGAATGTAATTTTATATAATACGCACGGTGTTAGTATCGAGGACGTATCTTTTAAAGGTTTCAACTTCTCTACCATTTTTGTGATCGAATTGTACCATTTTTTTTTTTATAGTATATTTGTAGCTGCAGTATATTGTACAAAATATTGGCGGAGGAAAATTATATTCTATACAATTGCGGAGCTACTCACGAGTGTTTTTGTCATATTCGTTTTAACTTATTATTATTATTTCACTTATAATACTCGTATTTTCGATTATTGTTCGCATTGAAGTGATAAATAATTTGCGTGTACATTACCGTGTACATTTCGATTTTGATTTCCTAAAGCGAGTGCGCTGAATTTATTGTTATAAAATATTATAATTATTTAAGTTATTAGTTACATAATATTATATAGATTTTGCCTATTATAAATAATTATAATTTCTACTTCGTCGTTAATTGCTCATAGCTAATAACGTGATAACTCAATACCGGGCCAAATTCAAATAATTGTTTTATAATTATAAAAGTAATAACGTGAGAATGGCAGGAAATCTAAATTTTTTTTTATGATTTTAATAATTTTCGTTTAAAAACCTTACAACCTGAGCCAAGACGGACGATGCGTATGACAACTATAGTGTATCATTATATTATGTTGTATGCGATATATTATATTAAATATAACATTTTTTTGGCTTTTTTCGTATTTAATAACATTGAATATTGTATATTTTATTACCGACCGTGTACGATTTTTTCCTCTCGACATTTCCGTGTTGCACGTATTTAGACGAAAACGCGTCGTGTCGTGACGGTGCAAGTTTCCCCATGTCTCTAGGGAAATAAGTAATAACAACGTATGCATACTGCAAAATGCCATTGTTTCGGGCGTACGCGTATAATATACATATATAGAAGCAACTAGTTGCCGTGGAAACGACGGCGATAGACCCCCCTATAGTAGCGTTATGATATTACGGTATTTGTCTCGCCCTTTGTAAAAGCTGCGAAGTCTGTATTAAGTAACGCGGTGTATTATAATATTATATTATACATACTGATTCGTTTACTCCTCAGATAGCCCGGCAAATGAATAAATGTTTTTAAGCGTTTTCGTCCGGCAAAACATAAAATACGCCGAGATACCGGGACAGAGTTATTTTTCAAGACGTGCGAACGGCAGGGGGGTCGTTTTCGAAAAATCGAGATTAGTAGCCGGGGGAATAATAATAATAAAAAAAAAAAAATAGCAATAAAACCGCTCGATAAAAAAAGAAATCCGCGGGGCGTGGATCCTTTTAGCGGAACATTTTTAGTTAATAAACATGAAAGGATAGAGGGAAAAACGTACGAGGGAACCGCCTTTCAAAAAATTGGCCCCCCGTTGACACGTTATTTCTCACAAGTCCCGGTGTATGTGTATACACGTCGCGTCCTCACCACCGCACAACCCAAAAGCGGTCTCATTACCCTACAAATTGTTTGGTTCTCATACACCGACGACGGTGGTACATAATATTATTATTATTATTATTATTATTATTATTATTATACCTATATAGTTTTCCTTAGTTGTATACCCGTGTCAGTCATGTGTGTGTCCGAAAAATTATGTTAATCCTCGTAGAATTTTAATCGATGTATTAACAAAAGCATTTTTTTTTCTTTTTAATTTTTTTTTTTTCCTCTCAGGTAGGTTTATTTTCTTGTCGCCCCTCGACAAACGTGTTTGCGCCATTGTCGTGCGAGCATAAAAATAACGGCAAAACCGACTACAACGAGCTATACCCAAAGTGTTTTTTAGATGTTAATTTTTGCTCAGATTAAGTATCGGGGGTGGCAAGAGATTTGTCGTTTCCTCGTGTCTGTTTCATATTATCATTCTGTTCTAATAAAGATGATATCCGCGTATTGATGAAACCGTGTTTGGTGTTAACGATACAAACGCTTCTTCTTGTTTTCGGATTAATTGTAATCGTATGCAATATATTAATTTCATAATTGCCGCGATATTGTACTATAATCTAAAATTTGAAACTGGAAATTTTCTTGTTGTGTTAAAAATAACATCGGGAGTTTCACGGTCGAAAACGCTTTATGGTTCGTTGACCCTCGTACCGGCGGCGTGTAGTCACGAACCGTGTGTCAACACACAAAAGCTATACGATGCGCGTGCGCTACACGATTAGGGCGAGATGGTGGGTGGATGCAGGTGATGGCAGAGAGGTCAATGGCGGAAGTGTATAGGTTTACTCCCTGCGGATGATGCTGTGCCGGTAACCATGGCGATACGGCACCGATAATAATAGTTATCGGTCGCAGTGACTCATAATTTGGAAATTCATAAATCCAAATTCGCAATATCCTTTATTATTCGTTTTATTATCGTATCTCAAATATAAATAAATAAAATAATACATTTCTTTTGTCCCATAAAAAAAAAAAAAAAATAAAAAAAGCACCGTTGTTAATATTCTGTTGTTTATATTATGTTCAAACTTGGACGTAGTACAAGAACCGTTAATAACGTTCCCGCCCCTTCTACCAATCGAATGTACTTTTGTTATTTTTATGAATAATAAAAACATAATCGTGAAAGAAAGGCCAAGTTCCCCCTCCTAAAATAATCAGCCTATCAAATTAGTGATATCTATACTTTGCGTGGCCAGTATTATGCTCTTTCTTTAGTCCGTACAACTTCACTTCACTCTTACACTACCATGAATTGAACAACACTGATCTTAAAGATTTAAACTAACTTGGCTACAATGTAAAGATATCAATACTTTGATAGGCCAACTTTTTGGGAGGATCTAGAACTTGGACCTTTTTCATGGTTAAGTTATTTATAGGTGATTACTTTTTGGAAACGATTTTTGAATTTGCATAGATCACCTAGTTAAATTATTAGGCTTTTGTTAATTTCGGGATATTTTATCAACTAGCGGATGAGCGTGCGGGTCATATAATTGAATGTCATCTCACAAAAGTTTGCGTCACCGCCGAATTAATATTATATTTAACAAGTCCACTGTTTGAAAAAGTTTGTTTGTTTCGATTAGTGATTTACAATAAAACCCGTTTTTATAAAGTAATCGAATTTTGACAAAATTTAAACATAATTTCAGAATCTAAATTTTAATTTAAACATGAAACGTTTTAGTAAAAGTCAATATTTCTTTTTAAGTCAATGAATACATGTGCGCGCCATTCACGCAATTAGATCGACTCTCTTTAAAGTGGCACTAGTTTTGAGAATAATAGTCTGTAGATAAAATTTGTTCTAATCAATATGTATGGTATGTCATACAATTAAATACTCAAATACTGTCCATGAGTGTATTATTCATTTTATATTCGTATAGTGTTTGTAATAGTTTAATTATAAATGGTAATTTTGTTGTGTTACAGATTTCAATCCGTTGGATTAAATGATGGCTTCTCCTACGCCGTCTCTAGATTCGTTATCCGGATTCAACACATTCGGCCCGGACTACAATAGATCATTGTCATCCAGCCACTCACCAACTGACTCAGATAGTAGCGGTTCGGGCGTATCCACAGGTGGCAGTGGAACAAGCAACAATACTGGTCCCCGCAAATGTCAGTTGTGCCATGAGATATTTTCAAATCCGCGAGTGCTACCTTGCCTACATACGTTCTGTCACGCGTGCCTAGAAAATAACCAGGACCAACCAGAAAAGATCACGTGCCCAAATTGTCACCAAGAGTGTATACTTACTAATCGCGGAATATCCGGACTATTGCCCGACTTTACTGTAAACGGCTCGATCGAGATCAATCCAGACAAGTTCGCTGGCGTGTGCAAGGGCTGCAAGAATCTCAACACAAACGTAGTTGCCTACTGTTACGATTGCCAGCAAACATTGTGTGCCAATTGCATGATGGCCCATCAATTCATGAACTGTTTCGAAGACCACCGTCTACATGGTTTGACGTTCGAAAACGGCGACGACAACAAGAATGCGTTCATACCGACCAGTGTGGGTGACCGCGTGGTGTTTTGTTCCCGCCACAAGAACGAGCCGCTCAAGTACTTTTGCCGCACCTGCAACGTGCCAGTGTGTAAGGAGTGTACGCTGAGTGATCATCAGTTCAGTATGCACGACGTGGAGCATCTGAGCGACATCGGTGTCAAGTTGTTGGACATACTCAACGGCACGGTGCAGGAGAGCAAGGCTAAGGCGACCGACATCCGCAACATGGTAAAAAACATCGAACACACTTCAAACAAATTACAAGTTCAATACCACAAGGCCCAGAACGAAATCAACGAAACGTTCGCTTTTTATCGGTCCATGCTTGAAGAACGCAAACAGGAATTGCTCAAAGAGGTGGAAAGTGTGTATAGCGCCAAACAGTTGACGTTGAACGAAGCCTCGCAAAAAGGATTGGAGGTGGTTGATAAGATCTACCAGACCGGAGAGTTTGTTGATCGTTTGACCAAAAACGCCAATGTAGTCGAATGCTTGTTGTTCAAAAAACTGTTGGACTCAAAACTGCAATCTTTGATGAGCTACGAACCAGACAATAGTGTGCAGAACATCTGTGATTTGGAATTCGTGTCAAACTACCAGGCCATCCAGGTGGGCGTGAGGAACACGTTTGGGTACGTGCGGTCCAGTACTGAACTCGGAGTTATCGGACCTGGCAAACAGCCTCCGATCGCCCGTCCGACTAACGGGTCGCTGATGAACGGCAATTCGACAATCACAAACGGTTGCATAAACGGCGGTAGCAATGGAGTTGGAGGACCCACAGACCTTTTGCAGCACAACGGCACGGTCACTAACGGTGTAGTTGGCGGCGGAGGCGGTGGTGGAGTGATCGAGCGGCCATACTCCAACGGACTATCGACTAGTCCTCTCTCAGGCCAGTATGATACAAACAATATACTTTCGAAGAGGTTCAACAGTGTGAACAGCATGGGACCGTTCTCGGCCAGTTCGATCGGCGATCTCAACTTAAACGCTATCGGAAACTTGAACGGCATTAACGGCATGGCTGGAATGAACAACATCAACCCGTATGAAAAATGGTCCAATGGCGGCAGCGGTGACATATTTCAAAACGGCAGCGCTGACTTTCCGTTGAATATCGATAACAACGACTCCATACTCGACTTGTCCAGTAAATTGTTCACCGCGTCCATATTCCCTCCCAAGTCGCAAATTAAACGGCACAAGATGATTTATCATTGCAAATTCGGTGAGTTCGGTGCCATGGAGGGCCAGTTCACCGAGCCCAGTGGCGTTGCCGTAAATGCGCAAAACGACATAATCGTAGCCGACACTAACAATCACAGAATTCAGATATTCGACAAAGAGGGCCGCTTTAAGTTCCAGTTTGGCGAGTGCGGTAAACGCGACGGACAACTATTGTACCCGAATCGTGTAGCCGTCGTCAAGCCGTCCGGTGACATTATCGTTACCGAGCGATCGCCCACACACCAGATCCAGATCTACAATCAGTACGGACAGTTCGTTCGCAAGTTCGGTGCCAACATACTGCAACATCCCCGTGGCATCACAGTTGATAACAAAGGGCGGATTGTGGTGGTCGAATGCAAAGTGATGAGAGTCATCATTTTCGATCAGGCTGGCAACGTTCTGGTCAAATTCGGCTGTTCCAAACACTTGGAGTTCCCTAACGGCGTGGTCGTCAACGACAAACAAGAGATCTTCATATCCGACAACCGTGCACACTGCGTCAAGGTGTTCAACTACGAGGGTCAGTACTTGAGACAGATCGGCAGTCAAGGCATCACCAACTACCCAATCGGAGTAGGCATAAATGCCTCGGGCGAAATTCTCATTGCTGACAATCACAACAATTTCAATCTGACCATATTTACTCAGGACGGACAATTGGTGTCTGCTCTCGAGTCTAAAGTCAAACACGCCCAGTGTTTCGATGTCGCTTTGATGGACGACGGATCCGTCGTGTTGGCCAGCAAAGATTATCGGCTGTACATCTACCGTTACATTCAAATACCTCCGATGTTAATGTAGATCTCATTATTAAGCATTCCTAAATTGAATCAAGTCGCCATGAAAAACACAAAACAATTCTGTTAACATTTTTTTTTTTTTATTATTTTTTACAAAAGTTGTTCGCTCTCTTTGTGTCACTGCTCATCACATATTATTTTGTTACGCAAACGAAAATAATGTCGCAGGTTTGTGTGCATATATATATATATATATATATGTATATCATTATGTCCATTTATTAAAGCTCATCAGGAGTGCAGTTACATAATTATGTTTTTTTATTGATTGAGAAAATTATTATTGTTTCATTTTAGCCAATTTACAGTGTAAACCTGTTACGTTTCGAGTACTTAAAAACCATAAATACCGATTTAAAAAAAAAAAACAAAAAAAAAACAAAAAAAAAAAATACATGTTTAATTATGATTTTTTTTTTTTTTTTTTTTTTACCACTAACTTATAACGTTTTTAATATTTTAACTTCGCGGGGTTTTTATTCTTTGAATGTTTTTTTTAATACATATTTTATTGTAACCAGGTTAGATTGAAATTCTGAGACTTGTAATTTGTAACTTACGGACTGTTATTTTGTATTATTATTATGTGAATTAATTATTATTATACATAACTTTTAAAAAGTAGAAGAGAAAATAGTTAGGCTAGCGAGTGTCTTTGTCCTCTTTAGTGCGCGAAACTTACTTATTTTTGTTATTATTTTTGTATTCAATAAATGTACTGAAATCCCAGGATAGTTTTCTTACCAATATGCCTTTAAACTAAATTAATTTTAATTTTGTTTGATTGTTTTTTTTTTTTATAATTTTTGTTATTACATCAAAGTATCTGCTCTGATTTGTTGAAGCGTTCCTTTCTATGGGACTTTCCTAGTCAAATTTCGGATTCCGAGTCTCCTATTTTTTTTCGCCACTTAATGTATTGATGCTCGCACCATATTTTTTTAACCTGTATTATTTAAAAAAAAAAAAAACCACTTACCTAAAAATTATTTTTTAAGTTTATCCTTTGATTTTTGTTCTTTTCAATATTCGAATTCAAATATTTTAGTACGTGTACAGGTTTACAATATTTTTTGTCCTAATTATACATTTATTATATATAATTACTTATACTAGAATTATATTAATTACTAAATCAATTTTTGAGTAAGTGTGTATAATTCTCATAATTTGTGTTGTTATTTTATATGAATAATCAAGCGTTGAGTTCTTAATTATAATATGTACAGACAAAAGGTACTAAAACAAAAAACATTTTCATTTATTTTTTTTATTTGGGAGTAATAATTGTTATAGTGGGATTTGCTCACTAGTTTTTGTTTTTCTTTGTCTAAGTAGTTATTGGATATTTTTATTGTTGAGTTTAATTTTAGTTAATTTTCTCCTTTTTATATTAAAGAAAAATGTGCGGTATTCCATTCTTAGACTTTTTATTCTTAATCGATTTTTTTGTACTTTCGTATTCTTATAGTTAAGGATAATAGTGTTTTCACAGTATTTAATTTTTTTTCTCTTTTTTTTTTTATGCACTCCGATAAATTGATAAGATAACATAGCTTTAATGTAGTG